CTCAGAAGAAGCATTAGGGGAAAAAAATTGGCTTTGCGTGTTTTGTGATTTGCCGTACGTCTGGTGATGCTCGCAGCTGCTGAACTGGTGTGAGCACATATGTGTTTATGTACAGACAACTCTGCACCATTTGTCAAAAAAAGCGTCGTGACTAATAGGAAAAATTGCACCTGGTTGTCCTTACACTGATCTTACTGCCTCGGCATGTGTGTGCTGTTCTCCTGCTGAGTAGTTGAGCTTCTCCAGAGCATTAAGATCGGGACAGGGAGAAGTTGGCAAGCTGGAAATGGGTGAGGAGTGGGAAGACCTGTGTTAGGTTTAGAAGCTGCATGACAGTACAGTATTTCGGCACTTTAATGGTCTGGATGGAAAGGAGGAGATGCCTTCACAACCATCCCCATTCTCTGTTGCTTCTTTTTTACATCAGGGGTGTAGATGTACTCAAGATTACTGAGAAAATAATAAAATCAGCCTGATGTGACAAGTTAAAAATTGTACTAATAAAGCACAACAACAGGATCTCTTTTACTCCCAAACCTAGAGACCTCCAACTTCAAAGAAGTATTGTAAGTAGCATAGGCTTTGTATTAAATTTGAGTTGAGTTTGCAGGATCTCTGGGAGTAGATACAGAGGTCCTTTTTTGGAAAAGAGCATGCATCTGCTTCGCTCCCTCTCTCTGAAGGAAGCTTTCATGCTCCAAGTATGTCATCAAACAGGAAAACTCCTGTGTAGGAGAGGATGCAGAGGAAGTTCTGCGTGCCCATGGTTTACAGGTGAGGCACAAAGTTTCAAGCAGTATCACTGAAAATGTCCCTGCCTTTTCTCATGCTGAAGCTGCATGGCATCCCATGAAGTAGCCTCAGACCCGAAGTGGAACACGGTTTGCCAAAGCTGGGGACAAAGTACCTGTGAAATAAAAATGATGGGGATGAACGGCCACCCGCATCTGGAGATCGGATTTGCTTGTCACTGAATGAGTGTCTGTGGGGTCAATCCTGGTCTGTAATGTTCGTTGTTCTCAAGACAAAATTCATTCTGCATTGGTACACCAAGATTGCAAAGCAACAACTTATACTAAACGTGTTTGGCTGCAGCCTTTCTAGAAGTTACATTTTCATTTAAAGGAGGGAGTGAAACAGTACTTTTGAAAGATGTTCATAGTGAAGTTTAATTATGGAGGGCAAGGAAGGGAAGCATATACAACGTTTACTGGAATAAATTGGGAGGGCTCAGACAGTGGGAGCTGAGAGCAGATGGAGGCAGGAGGGAAAATGGGACTGTAGGGAGAAGAAGGTCTGGAAACACTGAGGAATGAGAAAAATACAGGCTAGAAGTGAGCGGAGAAGTTAGCAGCATGTTAAAATCAGATGTTAGAGAGAGATTGTTAAACATTAGAATCCAGAGCTCAGAATTTTACATAGAATCCAATGACTCCTTATTTCTGCCTCTCATAATAGAGCTTATGTGTCTGCTGTCGATTGATGTTTCCCAGGTCAGAGTCCCTTCCCTAGCATCCTTGGAAAACTGAGGAGCTCAAAGGAGCGGAGAGGGGAAGAGGCAGGGCTGAGGAGGGGAAGAAGCAGATGAGTCCCAGTGTCCTTGAATGGCTCCCATTGGATCTGGAGGGAGAAGCTGACAGCTTGGCTCTTAATCTTGCTCCAGCAGCAGCGTTTGGCTGTTGGCCAGCTGGGGAGTGAATCACGGAGGCTGATACAGACTTCAGCCTTCTTGCAAAAGCCTTTAAACAGTTTTCTGTTCGATATGCACCGGATAAGGCCAGGGCTCCTGCTTGCCTGCACACTCTTCGAGTTTCTAACTCTTTCTGAGCTGAGATCATGTTAGAAAAAACGACTTGTAAAATGACATCCCAACCTGATTTCATTGTTACTCTTGTATTAAATTTGCTATAGTACTGTATATTCCTTGCTGCCAGGATGGGAAATTTACTTTGTGATGTGATATCCAGCTGCGGTATTTTTGCTTCCTACATCACCATGAGTTTTAAGGCTCTTGCCTTCCATGCTCAGCCTGACAGGGAACTGCAAGACAACAAATGCTTCATGGCTGGTCAGATTTCAGAGTACCAACAAGAGTAAAGCTGCATTTCTACCATAAAACAAAGGTACTTCAAAACCATGCAGAGAAAATGTGCTCTGAGGAAAGGAGATAGATACCTGTTCTATATGGTGGTGGGAAACATCTTCTGGTTTCAGGATCTTAGTGCATTTTAAATATGGTGGAGTACCAGTGAGTGACTGGGATTTCGTGTGGGTCGCTTAACTCGGGTGCCAAAGGAGTGATTCTGCTGCCGGTACCTGCTGCTGGCACATGGCGAGTGCAGCTCTCTAACAAACTTTGGAGCTAGGATGTAATTTCGTATGGGATGATTAAACAAGCTTGCCTTGCAGAAAGCCATAGGAAGGCAAGAAACACACAAAAACCAAGTAGAAAAGGGAGGTGAAGGGAAAAGAAGGAGAAAAATGCAACAGGAAAAATCTTTATTCTCTAGATTTTACGAGTCCTCATGGATTCTGTGTCGGGAAAGCCGGCGTTGTGTTAGGAATGCGAACTTTGTTCTTTGTCGTGCTCGCATTTCTAAGCTGATGGCAGAGCTCCTATGTAAGATTACATTCTCTTGGCCCTTCAAGTGATGACAACTATGCATTGACCGTGGTATGTGTATGTTAAAGGAAAAAAAATACATTTCTTGTTTTACTATTTTTTTGTAAGCCAGGAGCATCAAAGGAACAGGCTACCCTCCGTGTTCTCACAGCTGCTGTTTGTGTCTGTGCTGTATATATGCTAAATTAATTGGAAAAACAGGACAAAAAAGCATTTAGTTCAGGTCAACCAGTTGGACTACAGCAAATGCATGGCAGACTTAATCATTGTCTTTTGCCAATGAGCAGGTTGGCAAGGGCAGGCACTCCAACCCCTTCTGATGAAATTTGGACGTTTTCCAGCGCCTTTGGAGGCGTGATGCTCTCAGGCAAAGGTCTCCACGCAGAGCCTGGATGCTGTCGTATTGGCTGACTGGGATGATGGGGAAGGTTACAGCAGGTTACTTATCTTTTGTCAACTATGAATTCGGCTTTCAGCGTCATACTTGTAGCCCGAGAAGGCACGGCACGTTTCCCTTCCCAAGAATGTAGTAGTTAATTAATGGTGTCTTGTTAAAGGCATTGGTCTCTGGTGCCATGCTAAAAGCAAACACATGCAGCGATCTTTCTTCCTTTGTCACCAACATCAACAAATAAATGTTCCAAAGGACCCAACTGTCTTACAAAGTTTGGGTCTTCTAAAACAACTAACTTCTGTATAAACATGGAACCTTGCACTTCTAGGAAGAGTAAGCTGAGAAATGAAGGGAGCAGGCACAGTGTAGCGTTCAAAACTCTTTTTTCCAGCAGCCATGTGGTTTTGAAGATGTAAATGATTCAGCATCTCAGTATGTTTTCCATATTGCAGCAAGAATTAATAAGTGGTATACAGAGTGCATATTTCATACTAATTAGAGTGATTTTCTGCTGAACTCCGTGGGGAAGGGGTACTGAGGGATGTAAAGATTAAACCAAATATAAACTCATGTTAAAATTCATCAGAGAAATGTTGCTAATAATGAGTACAGAGAAGAATTAATTTCCTATCCTTTTTCTTTCCAGACAGTTGAGTTTAGTGGAAGTTACCACATGTACAATCCTGTTGTTATGCTTATCAATGTATTGCCTTCACAGTATCTTCTTTTATCATATAGATAATTTGTTTGTTTTTCTTTCTACTTCCAGGCCTTCTGCCTTATCTAGTAGCCCGACATACTCAGAGCTTCCGTTCCTTAGAATTTCACCGCACCGAAATCCTGCTGCAACATCAGAGTCTCCCTTCAGCACCCCTCACCCATACATTAACCCCTACATGGACTACATCAGGTCCCTGCACAGCAGTCCATCCCTCTCCATGATCTCGGCAGCTCGCGGACTCAGCCCAACAGACGGTGGGTTAAGACAGGCTTCCTGTTTTCTGTCATTGTAGCAACTTAAGTTATATTAATCTTGTCAACATCTTTTCCCCCTTGTTCAAAGCAGCTTCAGCAGGTTTGTCAGACATATTCATTATGTCATAAATGTTTCAATACTTCATCAGCCGATCACAGCTCATTTGTACATCTCACAAATGTTGAAACTTCAGGGAGAAGAAGGAAAAAAAAAAAGAAAAAAAGAAGCCCTGCCTCATTCAAAATTTAAGCTGGAAGGGTAGTGTACGTCTTGTGATATCTTTTGTTTGTGGAGCTGACCTGGGATGTGATTCTGATCTCTCAAGAAATCTGCTGTATCTGCACTGAATCGAGCCACATTTTTCACAAATGTACATCAGTTTCTAACCATGGAATTCTTCAGGTGTGAAAGGCCTGTTAATTAAAATAGTGTTTTTCAATCATGTAAAGCGTTCCCTGATGTGTTATATTTAGTCAATAGTTCTGTTAGAGTTATGTAGACTTATTTCCGTTTACCCTAGCCAGCAATATGGGAAATGAAACTATTCTAATGTAGAAGTGGCTGATGGTCACAACTTGCCACTTTAGTTTAAATGGTGGGCAGCATACTTGGAATATCTACGCATCAGGTCTTGGTGTGACCATGGCTATTATTTTCCAGGTTACTTAGATTGAAGCAAACTCCTGCCATCACTCTTGTCGTTAATCTATTCATTTCAGTGGGAATTTTGCCAAAGTGAGCAATGAATAGAGCTGGAAAATGGCTCAGTCTTGTTAGAAGTAAGTTTTTCAATAATAGAGCAAGCAGTTTGACATTTCAAAATTGTAACATTTGCTGAAGGGAGCTAAAATATAACATACTTGGAAACAAGTACCTAGTGAGGATATCTAAACTGTTATTTTAACAATGGGAAAGATCTTCCCAGTCTATGCAGGAACTTACCAAACAGAGTTAAACTGCCTTTAGCTGAATTTGAAAAATGAGTGGTGGACCCTATCCAAATGGATAACTAATTAATCCTCGTTTATAAGAACATATGCCTTTACAGTTAATCCATTAGTTATGGGCACATATTCATGTGAGAATAAATTTTAATGACCTGTTGTCAGTCAAGGTATATGGCATGCACATAGGCCTTTCCTAGCAGCACTTTGCATGTTGTATGAATCCTTGCTAATTCTACCCTTTCTCTTATAGTGTTTAAACAGTATTTTGAAGGAATAATTTCAATGCTCAGAATTTGTCTCAGTGAGTTTTTGATGTAGGATAAATATGGTAGAACTGTAATGTAATGGCATAAATTGGGAAAGCTCTTGCAGTGTGTATTTGGGCTTTTCACAAAAGCTCCTATGCAGAACGCTTTACTATCTTTTGTTCAGTAATCTTCAGGTCATATTCCTGCAGAATTTCATTTATGCTTAAGGTGTGCTCCAGTTGCACATACAAAGCAAGCAGGGAAGGAAAGCACCTGTCACACAACCTTGTGACATTAACCTGCCTACATTCTTGGTCTCAGGTACACAACACTGAATACAGTTGCACAGCAGTGCTATCGAGATAGTCCAGAGTATCTGACCCAGCTCCCAGCTGATGCTCCAGAAGGACAGAGATCTCCTAGAGGTGCTTTACCACATTCACCAGGCCAGTGATAATCTCTCTGAAGCTCTAGGATGTCTCCGGGTGGAATTTGGTTGCAGATTCTGGCACCTAAATATAGGTGTCTGCAATATAGACATCTGTCTGTGCTCTCAGTGTGCTAGTTTGCCATTATAGTCCAGTGAGTTCTAGGTAGTGAAGTCCTTGGAGCCTTAGCAAACTCTTCCTTCACCCAAATACAGACACTTCCATGTTACCAGCTAAGTCTACAGCTCTGTCATAGCTACAATGGTGCTAACATTCACCTGTCTCCAGTGTAGCTGTTTGGTGTCAGGTTTGGTGTCAGGTGTGTGAAATACCTTGCCTCAGCTCCAGCTGCCACGTCAGAGAGTCCTGTCTCTTACCTGCCTGCCTCATGTAGGTGCCTCAGATACCTACAAGCTTTCAGATGGCATGGGACATTCTACTGTGGACAACACACGTGAGCACACTCTGTCTTAACACTTGTGCCCTGAGCTCTGATTACTGACTGTCTGCACAGTCTTAGCCTTTCATAAGTACAGGCTGAACTTACTAGCTTCAGTTTCTTTTTTGGAGTTTTAAACAAATACATGTTACTTCACGTTTCCTCTGGGCTCACAGCTCATCTTTGATTGATTACCACACCCCGGGTGTCATGCAGCACCTCCTGAAAAGACAGTAACTTGACTGAGGCATTGGAGATACTTCAGTAAAGTAACATGCTTATTGAAAAGCTGTTAAATCTGTTCTCTGGCATCCATAGGATGTGGTGTTATCAGTCAGGTATACAATGTTATCAGCCAGGTATACAAATGCATTTTTCAGGTGTAGGTTCCGGGGATCGGATAGTCCAAGTCATGGTTTAAGCGCTACTAGAGTGCAAATAAAACCCCTCTGATTTAAAGGGGCACCTGCACATAATGTACGAATAACATAACGGGCACCATAGCTTGTTATGTAGCATTTGAACAATGAAAACTTGGAAATTGTTCTTCCAAAAGTCATAGTGAGATTTCTCTTGCTACTCTAATTGCTTTAGGCCAGTCGGATAATTGGGCTCAGCCTGTCGATTCACAGGTCTGGGGATGGCCAGGAGCCAGAACAATCTGGAACGTAATGAAGAGCGGGTCCATTTTTTGGTGGTCATGAGGCACAGCCGCAGCAGCCGTAATGGTAGAGTGTCTTCTGTCTTGTCACTTCACCTTGCCCAGCAGAATTGGTGCCCGAGAACTTCTCTGAGTAACACGGAGGGTTCAGGGAAGGGGTAAGGACCGAGTTGTTGGTGTGTGTAGAGCAGAATGCTCAAGTGAAGCTCAGCAGTGCCCACAGTGCAGAAGCAAATTCCTCTCCTTGTGAAAAAAGCAGGGACAAAGCCAAAGCTACCCAGAAATAAACAGGAGAAAATTCAGGGCTGCGGACCTTCCGATTTACCGTTCATCTACCCTTCATGCAATACATCATTTAGTAGCTAATTTTTTATGTTTGAAGACGGTAGTAAGGCATGATCTTTAAAGAGCACCAGAGCATTTCTCAGCATATGGAACATTTAGCAATGCAATTATGTGCTCACTGTGTTTTCTGCAGCAGTTCATTTTAAAGTTTGCAGCCAGCGTTATTGTTAGTTAACCCAGACACTTATGTCAGAAAGCTCAGGAAGTATTTTAAGTGTGTCTGGAAAGACACGATGGTTGTCTACTACTGTAAAACTTGTAAAATCGTTGATTCAGTGTGAGTTACTCCTGTTCTAAAATTTGATTTAGTATTTTTCTTGCCATTTCACAGAAAGTGGTGGTGGCTCAAGTAGATTATGTGTAATTGAGAAGGCAATTTGTAATTTGGAAAGAATACCAACAACATTTAATTTATCTCAGCCCATTTTTTATGCCATTCCTGTTGCTTTTTGGTGTACTTTAATTTTTCTGAACCTTTCCTGAAATTTGTTATATTTAACATTATAATATCAAAAGCATATTCTTCCATTTTCTTTGTTAAAAATAAAGACAGATTATATACTTCCGAAATCTGTTGCTGAGTGAACTTTTCTCCAGATTCTAATGCTATGTTTAGCTCCTTTTAGTGTAAATGTTGATGCTTTACTTCTAAGTTTTACATTTAGGATCTGATTCTCTAATGTAAACATAAATTATCCTTTTTAGTAATACTATATAAGTAACAATATTCAGGTTAATTGACAATTCAAAGAATTTAAGCTTAAAATTTTGTTTCCATTCAAGATTCATTTGCTGGCATGCAAACTTACTCTGCTTTCTGGTAAGCAGAGTGTAAGGAAATTTAAACTATTTTGCAAGTGGGACAAGTAGAGAGCGGAGAGGAAGACTGCTCACCTCAGATCACATAGCAAGTCAGAGTCAGGCTCAAGGAGATAGAGCCCAGCTTATTTCACGTCTGTTTCTCATACAAGCCCATGAAATGACCCTCTACTTACTGTAGCATGGGAAGCCTACTGAGATCAGATGATGTTAAAATTACATGGCGTTTTGTGTTTGTCCAGAGTTGCCCATTAATTGATGACACGCTTGAAAACTGGAGGGGAACTAGAGAGAAAGTCTAGTGTAAGTCATCCTAAGAGAACTGCGTCACTCGTAGTCTCGCTGATAGGATACCGATCCTATCCAGTCTGTTGTTTTAACTCTGCAAACATGCTCATGTGTGAAGTACACTTACGTATGAACTGTGAAGGATGGGATGACCACATTGATTGTCTCCAGTCTTTCCTCCCTAAAACTATCTGTGTGTTGTTCATGGACAACTACTATTTGTGCTGAAAACATGCTTTGTCCTTGTTTATTCCTAAGCTTATACACAGACTGCCACTGTGAATGAGAATCTTCTGGTCCTCTAGGCAGAGACTCCAGAAACTTGAATGTTTATGTAAGTTCGGTCGCGTTGTTACCTTAGAGACGGAGTTCTTTGGGCTGGAAGTGAGGTAAATGGGAGTAAAGCTCTAGGAAAGTTTTCCCGCTTTTTTTGTGTCACTAAATAAATCATGCTAGTTTCCACTGCTGTCAACCTGTCACTTTTTGAGTCAATAATAAATATAAAAATATGAGATCACTGAGCTCATTAATATTTTATGCCTTGCTGTTTTTTGAATGCTCTCTTTGCGGTATCATTTGTTGAAATATATTGACCGTCGGTGGCATACCACAGATGTTGCATTACATTAAAAAATAAACAAGCTGGTTTAATAGCCAGGGAAAACGGCAGCATGATAAAACTTGCCTTCTCGTTTATCTTACGTCATTAATGGTGCTTTTTTATGTTGTGTTTTTAGCTCCACACACTGGCGTCAGTCCAGCTGAATATTATCATCAGATGGCTCTGTTGGCAGGCCAGCGCAGCCCGTACGCAGACATCATTCCCTCAGCTGCCACTGCAGGAGCTGGTGCTCTTCATATGGAATATCTTCACGCCATGGATAGTAAGTGACGTCCTTTAGAAATATAGACGCTTCTTCAGAGGGAACCATGTGGGTTGTTCCTGGTCTGCCTCAGAAGGCCTCCATGCAGATAGAGAGGTGGGAGTCAACGCAAGCCTGCTTGTGAGGCTGGAGGGCCAAAGCGTTGATTGCCAAATGTACAAGGGTTACGTCAAGTCTGAAAGTAAACTTTTGAAAGTAAGTAGGAAGAGGAACAGGACTGCTCCTGAAAACAGGTTATAAATTTTATTCCAGCAGAGCTGGAGTGCTTTTGAGAATGTCCTTTTCTATTCACAATCAGTAACTCACTTTCATCGTTAGAGTGAGTATTTCCCTGATGAGCTCTCTGCCAATAAAAGGTTTACATCTGTTTTTCCATTAAGAGAGCGTGCTCCCCTCCTTTTTAGAGAGTGGTAGCCATGCTTATGAGTTGTGTATCATAGACCGATAGACTTTCAGATCACTTCTAAGGTGAAATGGTTTGCTGAATTCTCAAGGATGCTGACTTATTTTTCCCTTGATATTAAGAGCCTTTTTTACATGCTTCAGGATCTTTCAGACCTCTAATCTGGTCCACTTTCTCTGGTGAAGGAGGCAAAGAGAGGCAAAGAGTTTTTTGATCAGCCAGAAGGGATTATGCAGAGCACTCCCCTCTAGATGTCTGCATGCTTTTTGGGATGTACTCAGTTCCTTTCAACAAGGGAAGCAAAAAGTGGTGACAAGAAGAAGTGGTGACTGTTGACTCTTGCTTGGTAGTACAGAGCAGTACAATAGCTTTGGACCACCTTGTTGTCCCACAGCTTTTTAAGATGCTTGTTAGCACACAGTTTGTTCTTCCCTGCTGTTGGCTCCATGCCACAGCTGCTGGTCTCAAGGGGTGTGGGAGTTGGGAGGTTCACCTCTGGAACACGTAGGAATATAGAAGGTTATCCTGCAGCACACATGCCTGGGAGTGTGAAGTAGTTGACTGACCAACAATTTTTACAAGAATCAGGCAAGGCAGATAGTTGTGGAACTGGGCAGGCAAACTTATTTTCCTTCTGTTACCTTGATAGTGAAGCATTTTTAAATTCAGTTTCTGCTACCAGTCTCACTCCACTGGTAGTGTGCATACATACCTTGAACCCACTTCAGAAATAAATAAAATAAATAAAGCCACGGAAATTAGTCAGATAGATAGATAGATAAATAAATAAATAGAAAATAAATAAAGCCACAGAAAGAAAGAAAGAAAACAAAGAAAACAAATAAGTGAAGCCACACAACTATTCTGGACTTAAACCAGAAATTAATGCGCAGGCTTTAGGCTTGAAAGCTAAAAAGTATACTTCCTGATTTGTTTTTTGAGAGGAATAGGGAGCGACAAGATACCATGCTAGTACATTTGATGCGTATTAATAGTATATTGCAGAATGGAAACCATTATTCATGGTTCAGGTAATGTAAATCTGCTGCTGTGTTCATTACAAGGACAAATCCCCAGCTTGTATGAATGGACATGACTTCTTTGAAGTAAAGGAATCATAGAGTCGTAGAATAGTTTGGGTTGGAAGAGGCCTTTAAACGTTGTCTAGTCCAGCCTCCCCCTGTAATGAGCAGGGATATTTTATACTTTTAATGATTTTGATTCCTCTTGGGAGACAGTTTCTGAGTGCATGTAGGTCGCAGAACCAAACCACATATTTGGATGCAGGTTTGTTTGAATGGGTCTGTTGACTCTATAGGAGGATAAGTACCCAGAGATAAACCAGAAAACTTAAGAAAAACAGAAGACGTTGCAGTACTCATACAAAACATGACATTTGCACAAAAGACCTTTATGTGTTAGCAGAGATTGTGTATACTCTAATCTACATAGTATTGCAGCTTTTGCATCCCAAGAATGTTATCTCATTTTACATGAGGGAAAATGTTTCGACCTTTGCCCGTAACTTGAGCCCATTCATAAAAGGTACCCAAACACTATCTCTAATAAGGATATTTGCTGTCACCAGGCTTAGCTATGATATATTTGAAATGTGCTCTGTAATTTGTTTTGTGTTTGTTTTTAAAAACTAAGATCACACATTCGAGATTCATTATAGCAGCAACTTTTCAATTAGGCATTATTTCAGAGTTAAAGACAAAAAATGTGTAGCAGTATTATGCAAATGGGTTATTTTTAAACAGTAAATAGAGAATTAAAATAAGACTGAATCCTGGTAAGGTCATGCAGCTCACCTTCTGTATTTGATGAGAATGTGTTTAGTCAGGCAATAGCTGCTTTTATCTAAATAGAGTATGAAGTTACCCTTTTACTTTGTAAAAACTAATTAAAACTATCTTAACTTGTGTGGGTATACAGTAAATTAATTGTCATTAAGTAGGAATCTGAATGTCCTATCATTCATCATGCTAAAGAAAACCCCTTTCTTCTTTGTCAGAATTTTAGATTAGAAACAAGAACAAAACAATTAACAGGAAGCCGATATTAAGACTTTCTTAAAAAAACCCAATAAGACTGCTGCTGTTTGCATTTAATAACAAAGCCCGGTGATCAGTGCAGAGCAATGCCATTTGTTTGGATCTTTCTTCTTAAGGGTTTGTATGGTGATCTTAAAAGTACTCTTTTCACTTTTACCCAGTCTTGTCAAAGGAAACGGAGGAGAGATTGGTGATTTCCCTCATTATCTACTATCAAATTCTGAGCAAGTTGACTCAACTCACTCAAAGGCTGCTGCTCATTTATTCCACACAACAGCCAAATAGATACAAGCAAAACATTGTTCTTTCTTGGAGCAAGCCTGTCTCCTAATTGTTTGTTTATATGACATCTAGTGCAGTAATTTGGCATCTCTACCTTCTCCTGTAGTACAAATAACAGTTCCAATGCCAACATGCGCTGAGCACAAAAGCATGTTACATACAGTTTGTGCAGTTTTGGACTTTTTGTTTTGGTCTGTGCTGCTGGAAAACTGATTTCAAACTGGGGATGATATGATTGGGAGAAGCATTAATCAGAAAGTGAAATCTTGCCTAAAGAGCTGTAGACTTCCTGAAGCTCTTAACTTCACTGTCCTTGAACTGTCTAATATATTGTGGAAGAATAAGGCCAAGACGGTGTGCGCTTGATTGTCATTTTTCCTCGTTGTGTCCTGTGTGGTTTGAAAAGTGGACCAGGATTTTCTTTGCTGTTGTAAAACTTGTCTACAGTTTTGGTGGCTAGAATCCCTGACCAAATCTTCCAGTTTTCTTGCTTGTTCTAAAGGGGACGGATGTGCTACCTTTAAGTATAACATCAAAGTAATTAGGAGGAGTGTATATGGGGAACGTATGAACAGTACCACTGTAGCAAGAACTGACATTCCTTGTTGTGGCTGTAAAGATACTGTATCAGAATCATGGAATCACCTAGACTGGAAAAGACCTTTAAGATCCTCGAGTCCTACCATTAACCTAACGCTGCCAAGTCCTTGACTAAACCATATCCCTAAGCACCATATCTACACAACTTTTAAACACCTCCAGGGATGGCAACCCAGCCCCTTTCTTGGGCAGCCTGTTCCAATGCTTGACAACCCTTTCCATGAAGAAATTTCTGCTGATATCCCGTCTAAACCTCCCCTGGTGCAACTTGAGGCCATTCCTCTTGTCCTATCACTTGTTACATCCTTTCAGGTAGTTGTAGAAAACAATAAGGTCTCCCCACAGCCTCCTCCAGGCTAAACAACTCAAATTCCCTCAATCATTCCTCATAAGTCTTGCTCTATATGCTTCACCAGCTTCATTGTCATTCTTTGGTCATGCTCTAGTACCTCAGTGTCCTTCTCATAGTGAGGGGCCCAAAACTCAACACAGGATTCAAGGTACAGCCTCATCAGTGCTGAGTACAGGAGGACAATCACTTCACTGGTTCTTCTGGCCATGCTATTTCGGATACAGGTCAGGATGCTGTTGGCCTTCTTGGCCACCTGGGCACGCTGCTGGCTCATGTTCAGCTGCCGTTGACCCAACATCCCCAGGTCCTTTTCCACTGGGCATCTCTCCAGCCACTCTTACCCAAGCCTATAGCGTTGCTTAGGGTTGTTGTGACCCAAGTGCAGGACCTGGCATTTGGCCTTATTGAAACTCATGTAATTGGCTTTGGCCCATGGATCCAGCCTGTCCAGCTCCCTCTGCAGAGCCTCCCTACCCTCAAGCCGATCTATACTCCCACCTAACTTGATGTCATCTGCAAATTTACTGAGGATGCACTTGATCCCCTCATCCAGATCATGGATAAAGATATTAAGCAGGACTGGCCCCAACATTGAGCCCTGGGGGACACCACTTGTGACTGGCCACCTACTGAATTTAACTCCATTCACCACCACACTCTGGGCCAGCTTTTTACCCAGAAAAGTGTGCACCCATCCAAGCCATGAGCAGCCAGTTTCTCCAGGAGAAAGCTGTCGGAAATTGTGTCAAAGGCTTTACTTAAAGTCCAGATAGACAACATCTGCAGCCTTTCCCTCATCCACTAAGCAGGTATGCCAAAACTGTCTTTTAAGCACTTAATTCCAAAATTCACAGCCTTTCTCGTATGATACCTGTATTTTTCTCTTGGGGAATATGTTTTACTCTGCTTCTAAATGGTGTTCAGTGGAAGGCAAGCATGTTTCCTAAGGTTTCTACATTCATCCAGAGAGTATTAATATCCTCACTCTAACTTTTGGCTATGCTCATTCAGAATGTAAGGTTTTTCTTTTTCAAATTTGTTCAGCATTGTCCTTACTCCTTTTTGTATTACAGACACTCGTAGCAACTCAATTTACATGAAGAGTTTGGGCAGCCTGAAGAGTTAAGCCAATGTGAGAAGCATTGGACTGGATTTAATTTCTGATTTTCAGGCACAGTTGGGGTATAAGAGTAGGGTAACAAGGCCAGTCGTTTTCTTCTCATACTGATGACAGATTTACCGTTTTGAAAACTAAGACAAAATTTATGACAGACTTTCATGAAGTGTAAACAAAAGTACACATCTGTGAGCAGAAACTGAAAGAGAGAGAGAGAATAAAAAAAAAAGCTTTAATGTAAAAAAAAGAAAGCAAATTTCCCATGCATACAGCCTCCGACAAAAACCAGTGTCTGAGACAGGTTCAAATAAGTTTGATTTAAAGGGATGGAATAAATGATACATGTCTGAAGATTGCCTTATAAATGATTAAGCAATGCTAAAAACTTCAACTCAGAAATCAAATTCATGGGCAAATTTGCTGGATGGCATATTCCATTTTTGAAATTTATGATGGAGATAGATATCTGTTATTTTAGAATTGATCTCCACCCGAGGAATAAGATCTTTTCCTCTGACACCTGCTTGAATTTTTGTCGGCACACTCAAGTCTTTACTATCAACAACTGAATTTTTATTACTATAATGCCTACTCCAAAAAGGTGACATTCCTAAACAAATCTTCACTGTCGGTTTCCATTTGCATGCTTTGCCAAGGATGATGGGGTTTTTTCAGCACTTGCACAGAGGTAAATGGATTTTTAGTGAATCTGTGCTCCTGCATATTTTGATTTTAAAGCGTTATTGAGTAGGGAATATGATACTTCAGTGGGAGAATACTGTGAGCAGATGAACATATCAAATTGTTAGGTAAATATTGAAGTGTTTGTTTTTAAAAGAAATGCCTGGGCAAGGCTCAGAAGTTTGGTTTAGTATTCAGAGACATTGACAAATTGTGACCTGTTCCTTTTTATAGTAACATACTAAGACTGATGTTATGCTAATTGAATGGTTTAGCAAATGTTCTGCAGGGTAACGAGTGGTCAATTCATACTTAAGACTTTTTAGGCATGTGAAAACTAATTAAACCATGAAGATCTGAAAAAACAGTAATTCCATTTAATTGTATTTTCAATTTTGAAACTTGTGGCCTCCCTTGAAGCGAATCCCCCTCTCCTGTGGTCAGGCTCTGTAGAGCTCTTGCCCAGCTTCAGCCATTGGCTCCTTCTGTGAGACAGAAATAATCACTTTTTGCAGGAGACTCTTGGCCCTTAGGAGGTTGTTCCCATCTCGGGTAGGTGGAGGGGACTGCCGAATTCCCACATCTAGGTGGAGACTGAAACAGACACTGCCTGGAGGAGAAGAAGAAGAAGAGGAAGAAGCCCAAGACTGCTGTGTGGGGCAGCTGAAGCCTGGGCTCTGCACCTTGCAGGTTGAAGGAGCATCTTTCTTCATTGCTGGCATCAGATCTGGTCCATCCCCTATGGAGCGGAAACAGGGATGCCCTGGCAGCAGCTGGCAGATGAGGGGGAAGTTTAACAAGCGACAGAGAGGGGCCTCTTAGAAGAGCCGCAGCGTGACTTAGGCAAGGGGTGAAGGAGATGGGCTTAGTCTGGAAAGGGCGAGGAGGAGCAGGAGTTGGAGCAGAAGGAGCAGGAGGGATGTTGTTGCAGTTTTTGAGAATCTGCAGAGCACCACAGGGAGTATAAATTGCACTCTTCTGTGATCTGTCAAAGGTGAGCGTGCTTCTCTCCAGGTTTGTAAGAGCTTTAAACAGTTGTTGGTAATGCTTCTTCAGTCCGCTCTGAGATGTGGACTGCAGTACGGACAAGTCTGCTTGGGCAGTTGTGGCAGGGAAAGTAAATGGTATCTGATCACAGAAGCAGCAAAATGCAACTGTTGTCTCCTGCTTACATTGCTCAGTCTGTCGTCAAAGGAGAGATGCTCAGGTGCTAGTATTCTTAACAACTGCTCCACCTTTTTGGTCACACCCATGCATCCCCTGTCTAGTTAGCATCAGTAGCCATCAGTTCATGTTTAGCAGGCTTGTAATGAATTTCTCAAGTAAGTGGCAATCCCTTTGTAGTTGTGGATATTCGAAACTGGACTTTAGTCCATAAGAAGTAATTTTTAAAAAATATTTCTGCTGGAAATCACATTTGAAACTGTTCATATATGGCAATCAGTAGCACATAGTGACTCTCAGTTGTGAATACAGAAAGTTGTAAATACTAGGTCTTTCTTGCTTAGCAGAAGAGAAGGAGCTGTACTTGTCCCCCCTCAGCACCACTGCTGCCCTCTTACTGGCATGTTGAGATCTGTGCCCATCAGTTTGAGGAAAACAGAGGGTTTGTAATTAGGTTCACATGACTGCAAACCATTGCTGCCATATGTAGCACACCGTTGGGATGCCTGATAGTAACACATGATACAGAGGTAGCAGTGCTTGAGTAACGTCTCATTTTGGTGGTCAGCCAATGTCTAGCAGGTCTATCTTGTCCGCTTCACTTGCTGTTTAATCTGGAACACCTGTACTTAGCTATCCCCTTAGAAAACCACAATAACAGAGTTTATTCACCTATAAAGCATATGAATTGTATCCTCAGCTGAGGCAAATTACCGGTTTCAGAGGCTTTGTTCTCTTTCCTGCTGGCAGAACAGTCAGCAGAGTTGTGGATGAAAGTCATTATGTGTAAAGTATTACTATTTTTGTTTTGCCATGTTACCTATCTTGTATTTCTTTATTAAATGTGTTGCTGCTTCTTACAGCTGTTGATCATTGTTGGTTTATATGTTAGCACAAATAGAAGATCTTCACCTCTGAAAGGCAGTAAGCGCAGCACTAATAAAATATCAAGCAGATACAGTACAGTAGTGAGCTCATAAAAAGGAGATAAAACAGGTTACACAAAATAATGTGTAGTAGTTTCTAGGAAGAAATAAATGGTTATGCTTAAGTTTTAAAGGATGAATCAAGAGCATGAATATTCATTGAAAGGCTGGATCAGTATGGGCTAAGGTGTATTGTAGAGACAGAGCACTAAGGAAGAAGACTCTGTATTAGCCACAGAATTGACACCCATGTTGGCTAGTTGAGGTAAATCTAAGCATAGATTAGGAGAAGGGCTAGAGACAGAGATCTGATCACACAGTCGCAGCAGCAATAAAATGGCAGCTTTTAATAGCAGATGAAAATCTTAGATAGTACACAGATGGCATGAGAATCCACTCAGGTGTATAAGGAAAAGGTAATGCAGCTATGTCCTTGAGGTGCATCTAATTAGGCTCTTCTCCTTTAATATGAGGGACCTAAGGTTAAACACCCTGCTGAAAAATGGCCCTGGGCACCAAGCCATAAGCCAGAGTTCAGAAAGGCAGACCTATGGCCAGGTCTTGTGGAGTCTTGTGGCCAACCATGAATTATTAGCAAGTTACAGACAACGTCAGGGACTCTGGGAGAAGTAGCTGTAAAGTAGGCATCAAACCCAAGGCCTGCATGACCCTGGTTGTCAGGATTGTTAGGACTCAGTCCTTTACTACAGGTTAAAGGGATTAAAAAGGTAAAAATTGCAGTACTATTAAAGGAAATAGTTCAGTATGCAGTAGGGAAGCTAATTCTTTCCGTCTCGGTCTAAACTGAGATTGAAAATAATTAAATAAGGGGAAGAAATTTAGGGTGATATATCTTCTGTCAGAACTGCAGAGAGTTGGAATGCCATGGTAAAATAGACTAGAAGAGGTAGAAATTTTAGAGCAGAAATGTGTTTATTTAAATGATATCCGTATGGTTGCCTTCTCTTCACAGCTTTGAAAAGCTTAATCTCTAGTTGTAAAGAAATTTGGCAATCATAGGCCCTGGCACACCCCACACAAGAATGTCATAGGATCCTGGACAAATTCAAATAAATCCTACTGTTTCTCAGTCTAATGCCATGAATGCCAATTTGACTTCATCTGATAGAGCTGGCCTGTAAAGTATTTTTTCAGTCCTGATTATTAATTTTGCATCAAGCATCGTCCAAGCAGAATTACAGTCAACAAAGGAAAAGCTGCCTCTTCATTTCTACACTGTATTTTACAAGTTTAGCTTTGGCTCTATATGTTAAAGTGATGTGGGTTTGGGTTTGCTGGTAGCCCAGATCTGAACCACTGTCTCATTGCTCATGGTTGAATTAATGACGTGAATGTCTAAGAAGCCATCAGATTCATAAATCACCAGAAATGAGAGGGATAACTCATAAAAGTCTTTTCCTTTTGTTTGGCAATTTATCATTTTGCTTGCACATTAATAAACAGAGCTCCCCTGAGGTAAGCCACAGGAAGATAGATTTTTCTTCCTAATTTTCCTCAATTGTAGCCAGTAGATCACAAGTGGTGAGAGTGGGCTTGTTGCAGCATGTTGGTGTCTTTCAACTCCCCCTACCCATCACTGATAACAAATAAATGCAATTAAGTACCCTGGTGGATAATTATTTGTGTTTACATAACAGGCGCCAGGTTTCCGAGTCCAAGGTTGTCAGCTAGACCAAGCCGAAAGCGTACGTTGTCCATATCCCCTCTATCTGATCACAGCTTTGACCTTCAGACCATGATACGGACATCTCCAAATTCCTTGGTTACAATTCTCAATAATTCTCGTAGCAGTTCCTCAGCCAGTGGTTCTTACGGCCACTTATCTGCAAGTGCAATAAGGTAAGAACAGCATTTTCTACCTTCATTGTATTTTCTCATGTTTGTGTCGTACACACACATGCAAATGTGAATGTATACTCGCATGTGTCAGTAACCATTTTGTTTTGCGAATATGTGCGTTTGGCAGTTCTTGTGATATATATTCACTGGAGCTTAATTTAAAGTACAAAATACCTTTCATTTTTCTTGCTCAGAAAGGAAACGCAAGGGACTTTTTGGCATATTATTGTCCAGTGCAGGTAATACTCCATCTGACCCACAGTAGTGGGGTGTGTATGTGTGCTTAGGAATCTGTTTTCAGAAAGCTCTAATATAGGCTTGTGACTTAAGTCAATTGGGTTCTTCTGGCCATAGATATAATGGACGTGAAGTGTTCATACATGACAATCACCAGAGAGTAAAACACAGACTTGTGGTACTGTTCAATTAAAATGTTTGGCTGGGACTTCATGGTATTTGTCTCCCAAGTTTCATGCTTTAGTTTGCACATTGAAAAATCAGGCTTTCTGGAGCTACATTATGGGGGGTTTTTTTTGTACCAAGGAAGTACTGTTATCATCCAGTATCATCAGAAATGCTGTAATTTTCACTTGGCTGCTTCACTTGTGCATGTAAGAAAACAGCCAAAAATGGTTGTTCTGGAGTGAGGAGAGCAGAGCAGCAAGGGAAGAAGTGGGCAGAAGTTGTGCAGGAAAAGGAAGCAAACAGGTCATGGGGAGAGAGAACAAAAGCAAGAATATAAAAAAAAGTGGAGCTGAAGAAAACTAAAAGAAGCTGCAGAAAAAAATGGAGATGCAACTGCAGAACATTCTTGTATTTGTGGCATTGCTATATGTTAACTGAGAAAAGCTCTTTTGATATTCCCAAAAAACTTCCTCACCTCTCCAAAGCGTTAGAAAATACTGGTTTTGCATTTATGGCACTCAGACAAAAAGTGCTGCTGGTCCCTGGCTTAAAAGCAGCCTCCACCTTCAATTTGCAGTGAGGCCAAGGAGCAGATCCCCACAGCAATTTCCTGAGATCTAAAAGACCTGTTTTTGGCAAGGCTCAAAAATGCCGCTCCAGCAAAAATGACACACAACTTTAAAACTGACTGTGGGGATTTGCACTTCTGGAGAAATTGGGGCATGCAACCAGTCTGTGAGTAACCATGAGCCAGTCAAACTTTGACAGCGACAGCACTGTAAATATTTGGTGTCAATGTAAGTGCTGTTGGGCTTTTTTAAGCACAGATTTTAAATAGTTGTGCTTCATAGCTCTGATGTACTTGAATAGCTGTACAGTGTTTCACAGGTATGTTATCATAGCTCTGCAATACAACTCTGCAGCCTATGTAACCACAGTCTCAGTTACGAAGCTCCATAATGTGGAATATTATTTATGTCAATAGCTGGCAGCAGTTTTGGGCCACATCTGTTAAATACATTTAGTGTGTGGAGGTGTACTACCCTCGCTGTCATTAAGATGGGATGGCACTTCAATTACTAACCTCCTTTCCCATTGCTCGTAACTTTGGTAAGGAAAATAGTGCATGAACGTTGGCATAATCTCTACAGTGGCGTAAGTCTTCCCTCCTTTTACTCTTCCACCATAGCTGGAAATGGTTGGTGTATGCTTTTTGATACAGAATCTAAGGGCCACCCCTGCAAGACTGGAGTGTGATGAATAGTTTTGATGAAGGCAGTTGTGGAACTGGAGTGAGTTATGGGCAGAGACTGAGTAAAGGTGCTAAGGAGGTGAACAGTGAGCCTTGTGAACTGGTGTCACTGAAGAAGGCAAGGCTTGTGGGACTGAGCCTGGGGTTGACTGAAGCTTTCAGCACGTCCTGGTCATATATTTCAGGAATGTGTAGTCAAAATTTCCCACTATTTTGAGTTAGTTTTTTTTTTCATTTTTGATAAAGAGTATGTGTGTTCAGCATGAAAAATTGGAGACATGTATCTCCATTCTTCCCAGTGGAAAGGAGGGAGAGAGCTCACTCTTTTTCTAGCATTACAGTTCACCTCTGTTGATGCCCTTTAAGTTACACCAAAATAAGCAGTGACGTAAGGTATTAAACCCAAGCCAAATTTCATTGCTTTAATAAATTCCAAGACTAAATAGCAACAAGACTATCAGTAAAATGTAATTTATTGCAACTCACTCTCTTGTAAACAATGCATTCAGCACAGGAACTGCTGTACTGAATCAAACTGTAGGTTCATCCTATTTAATATCCTGTGTGCAACAGTGATCTAAATGTAGAAAAAACTTCTCCTAGTATCAAATCCCAGCTTCTGGAAACTTGTAGGTCAGTCTTGCTGCAAGAATATGGTAGAGTTCAGAGGGCCACTAGATGGAATTGCAAGATAGGAAGTTTTTGTATTTTAGGCAACATCAGTAGCGTTAGCTATACTTAATGTTACACAACACTTCTACTTTTAGATCTTGTTTCAAATCACTTTTCACTTAGCCCAAATAATTTATACTTGGCACCATTTTGCATGGCAGATACCTGTCTAACACTGAGTATTTCCAAAAGCATCAGCAAAGTTATTAATCAGCATGAAGTGAAGGAAGAAGAGACTTTCCCATACAAACTAAAAGACTTCTTGCAGCCTTTTCTCTGAGAAGCTAAAATGTGCTAGAAGTATTTCCTATAGATGTGATCTTTGCTTTTCTCAAGAAATTGTCCCATGTAGCCAAGTGATAAGCTGCCCAGAGGTTTCTGTTGGCGTGCATTAAATAGACTAAACATGCAGTGTGTTCCAGTCCAGGACTCACAGCAAGGAAGGAGAAACTTTTCTTGCAGCTGTAACTCTGCTTAATCTGGTACCTGCTTGGTACCAGTTGCACTAGAAGAGAGAAAAAGCTGCAAACTAAATCATATAGAAGTGGTTTATTAAGGAGTATGAAGGTACTGCCCCCTTGTGATTGTGCTTTGGCGCCATCTTTAATTCCAGAGTTGCACAGTAGTTTTTTCGCAGGGCCTATGCCTGCTTCAGGGCTGACCCTCCTCTCCGGATCAGCAAGAGCCACAGGACCCTGCCTCACCCTTCCCAGGCAGCTCTAAAAGAGGGGCAAGCCTTTACCTGGTTGTTTGCTGCCGGGAGGACAGACTGCTCTTGCAACACAACCCCAGCCTGTCGCTGGGCAAACCGAACAAGTCACCAGTGACCACCAGGCTCATACATTGTCTCTTCTGGTGGCCCAGCCTCCTGCTCTTAATGCTTCGGAGGAGCCAAATTGCTCACAGCCATGGCTTGAAGCTGCCAACAGCTGTTTTGAACATTTCATGTGGTGCGTCATGGTCCCCATGTCTGAAATTGAGCAACCACAATGACTCGCACTTCCTAACTTCTTCTTTCTTCGATTCATGTTCCTGTGCAAAATGAGTCCTTCCTGTTCACCTCAGAGGAAGGTTGAAAGTATTCATGTTTTGTGAAGCACTTAGATTATGCAGTGATGAGCACAGTCGAGATGCTCAGGAGGGTGTCAGTGATTATGTGTTCACTGGTGGTTGAAATACAATGGAAGGAGGGCCTATGGGCAGTACTGTGGGCAAGGAGAATTAAAATACCAGAGGGGCTCTCACCAAAGACTGTTGTGCATCTTGCACACTGAACGAGTCCTGCACTGGGGGAAAAGGGGTGCGTGCTGAAAGCTGGTGAGTTAGCACACAAAGGTGCGGATGGGTTTAGTTGTGATCTCTCTGATTTTGTAGGCTCAGTGCTCTTTCAGCCTGTGTTTGCAAAGGTGCTACTTGCGTAAAGAAAGTGTTTCCAGGACTTCACTGTTCTTTGCGTTGGCTAAAAAAAGTACATCCTCTGGCTAAAAGATTATATATATATCCTGTGCTTCACACAGCTTTTCCACCTCCGTATGAGGCCACTGTGGATGTTGAGGATGAAATCTAATGAAAGGAGCCACATTTGGGCTCTGTTTTTACCGAGCACAGAAGGATTCTATTCTTTGACATGGGTACTACTGCAGTTCAAATAACAAATAATAATAACTTGACTTGGCGGGCGCTTTGTCACTGTCAGCTGGCAGTGTGATGCTGTATCCTGACTACTGGCTGAGTACTTGAAAAGAAGATGTCGCTCCTGCTGACAGCTAATAGTGGATCTCCTTTAGCACACCAGGTAGAGCTTCTGCTTTGTGCATTTGAAAACACCTGGTTTAGGTCTCAGCTGAGAGAGATTATGCAGAAAGGAGGAGTATGAAATAGCATCCGATGAGGATAATCCTTCATTTGACATTTACTCATTTGGTTACCTGCCTCAGTCCTGCAGAGCAGCACCCCTGCTATTAATCTTTTGTGAGGATGTACTTAATGTTATATCTGCTACCTGTGACAATTATTAGACTTTGCACTTCAGTAGCACTTCTTTTTGAGAGGCAGCATGGCCTAGAGTGAGTATAGAGGCGGGGTAATCTCTTCCCATGATACTAAGAGTACCGATTCAAAACCTTTACACAAGATTAGATGGCCTTTAATAAACACAGGAGGTTGGGACTCCATGTTCTATAGGATCTGATGTTCAGAACCTCTGTATTTTTCTGGTACCTTAGCAGTGCTGCAATACTGAATTTACAAAGTGGGTTTTCAGAAAGTGAGCCCAATTCCCTGTCAGCTACAAGGTGTTTAAATCAAGAGTAGTTCTATCTACTACTAGAGACCTTCTTTGGGTCCAGGCAGATGCCTGTCTCATAATGTGTTAAAATTCAGTTTCATGTGAGCACAGGAGCCCTTTGGGATCTCCTCCACAGTTTGAAAAAAACCTGAGAGAGCACAGCAGCACTTTTCCCCCTCTACCAGGCTCTGCTCCTGCTTCCCTAATGTCATCAGAACAGGAAGGAGCAATTAACATACTGTGGTTAATTACAGCGAGATCCTGGCTGTCCTGGTTCCTCTCACTTTTCTTGAGGCTTATCTGAGGGTGAGTGTCAGGGAACAGTGGTGAGGGTGCTTTCGCAAAGAGCACTAGAAAGTGATAGCCAGGTTCGTAGGGTGAGCT